TCGGAACATCCAATTAATGATGACAAACCAGTTAGTAGAAAGGGAAGGCTTGGTGATGCCACCAAAGAGCATCGAGGTGACTCACGAAACCATTCACCGTAGATTCCGTTAGTGGTGATCTGGTAGCGAGTTATGGCGCTCTTTAACTGTACGCGATAAACGCGTTTCTGCCCAAATCGAATCACATGGTGGTTTGTGCAGTTTCCGCGGATGATCGCGGAGACTAGGTAACGTAGCGGGATGAAATAGCCAGGACAGATCTGGACCAATCTTTCCCGTCGGTTGATTCGCTTTGCAAGTACTGCCTCCGAAACTTCCAAGCGTGGCATTAAAATTAACTTCAGGGCGAGTGAATATTTTCTGGGAGATCATTTGTGTACACTAAAAATAGTAGTGGGCCAAGGACGGATCCTTGTGGCATACCACTGGAGACACACTAGCTGTCCCAATGGGCATCGGCTAATGTTACCTTGATTGTTCTGCCATGCCAGTAAACTTGCAACCAGGTGAGCAGGGAACCACTGTAAAGTCGTGTACAATTTCCCATGAGTCACAAATTACTTGCACTTGAGTGCCTTTTACATAATCGTTTTACAGCGCAAAATAAAGTGTTGGGCAAGGGCTGTTGTCATCGGTCGACCGGGTGTTGACATATCTTTCCTTTTGATTTGATTACAGCATGGTCCCACTCACAGGCGGACGAACTAACAAGGGACACTGGTGTGCAACGCGTTAACTGGCTCTTAGCAAGTGAACTGACTCTATCCGTTGGTTGTATCCATCTTCGTGTCAAACACCAACCATTGTTGTCCACCGTCCAAGACTGTAAGACTTTAACCTCGCTTGAAGACGGAATTGGAAATCAAAGTCAACCGGAAGCACGGGCCTCGGTTGCGCCAGTACACTGTGAACGAATAGTCGAGCATGTCAGGGAGAATTACGGACGTCCTGTTCATTTGGTCGATTTGTAACATATTCCGCTGTTAGTAAACTTATCGTCTGTAAACCAGTGCTTTTCTGACTCTATCGTTGTATCGGGTCAGGGCGCGTCTTATACGCTGCGAGAGGTAAACTTTTGTGCACCCGCAGTAGCCCTGTGGATCCCAAGAAATGTATTTCGTATGCTCGCGTCGCTTCCGCGATTTAGTTGTCCCGTTATAGAACAACCCCGCGAGGGCTAGAAAATTATTTGCTTGCGTTACTACTGTTGTATAGGCAGTAAATATGATTTATCGTTGGTGGTTTTTTGTTAGGAAAGCCTGAAGTTAATTTTAATGCCACGCTTGGAAGTTTCGGAGGCAGTACTTGCAAAGCGAATCAACCGACGGGAAAGATTGGTCCAGATCTGTCCTGGCTATTTCATCCCGCTACGTTACCTAGTCTCCGCGATCATCCGCGGAAACTGCACAAACCACCATGTGATTCGATTTGGGCAGAAACGCGTTTATCGAGTACAGTTAAAGAGCGCCATAACTCGCTACCAGATCACCACTAACGGAATCTACGGTGAATGGTTTCGTGAGTCACCTCGATGCTCTTTGGTGGCATCACCAAGCCTTCCCTTTCTACTAACTGATTTGTCATCATTAATTGGATGTTCCGAGTGCAATTAGGTCATTGTTTTTACTTCATCCACGTCTCGAAACACTACGTCAACTCATGCTGCAACGACCCGCTTAAGGGGAACATTCACGGGATATGCCTATCTTGCTGTTCCCATTTGAACTTGTCTGGCATGCGCCATGCGGAGCAATTCATCACCTGCGTAGGCATCACTAATTCATAATGTCAAGGCGATTTGGTGGAACCGGCTTTCTTAACACCAACAACGACAAGGGATAAATCATATTTATCGACTATGCAACGGTAGTTACGCGCGCAACGATTATTCTAGCTCTCGCAGGTTTGCTCTACAACGCGACACGGAAAACAAATCTGTGCTCCACATGGCTACTGCGGGTGCACAACTGGCTACTTATTGTAGCGTACACAATGTACCCTGGCCCAATACAACAATACAGTTAATAAAGCACTCGTTTACAAACAGTAAGTTTACTAGCAGCAGATTATGTTACAAATCGACTAAATGTACAACACGTCCGTAATTCTTGCTGACGTGTTCGACCATTCGTTCACAGTGTTCAGGCGTAATCAAGGCCCGTGCTTCTGACACCGCACACTCGAGAATACGGAGCCGCCACTCTGTTTTACTTAAAAGTCCTTGAGGGTCCCCCCGGAGCATTTCGGCATATCTTCCCCTCACCCCCTGTTTGACATGTGCCTTTATAATGCTCCAGATTCCATCGATGGGGTTGAGTGCTGGAGAGTGTGGGGCAAGACGTAGAAGTCCCTCAGAGCGATAACGGTCCTCTGAAAACACTTGCTCCAGGTTCGTGTGACAGGGTGCGTTGTCGCAAACCACAACGCAACCTCGCAAAAACGTTGCTCCGTTGGTATCGAGAACTTCCCGCAGCCACCCAGAGCATCGCTGCTTGTTGTAGCTACCTCTCAAGATGGTACATGTTATCAAGCTCGTTTTCCTATTTCCCTACCCTCCAATCGTCTGTGCCTTTGGGGTGCGCTGATTGGTTACATGCCCTTCTGTGGGTAGAGGAACACAGTCGCACACGGTGTCACCCCCGTCCACTGTGCACAGAGGTGTGTGAGCTCATGTTTCGGTTGCGGCGTCTCAATTGGGTCCATGCCACCGATATGCGTCTGAGGTCCTATTTGCTGAAGGTGCTTGGCCAATGAAACAGCCCCTACAAAGCCAGAGAGTGGTTCATTTCCGCATACCGAAGACTCAAAATGATTGCCCCGGAGGAGCAACCCTGTTGACCCACAGGCCTAAATGTTTTGCCCGAATGTCCAACTTCCATGGAAAAAGGTATGGACAGTTGTATCAGCGCCGGTGGAAATGAAGACGAAATCACGGACGTAGAGTAGAGTGCAGAGTGCACTCTCATTTTCGACATTTCTCTGCGGTTGTGAAATCTGGCCCATTCGATCGGCAGAAGTAAACAAGCTAGTTGCGTTCGACCACCGGTGTCTTCGCAGTTTGGTTCATATCTGGTTGGAACACCGTGTGAGCAATGAGCATGCCCGACGCCTTGTTTATGGTGCAGGAAGAAGTGAACCGCTCAGCAGCGTTATTTTCGTAGCAGTGTCCATTGGTTGGACCACGTATTGCGCATGACAGCCCACCAACTCCCGTGTTGAGCGTTTTTTGCGTGTCAGTGATGTGGACGGCAATAGAGCAAGGGAGGCCAACCGAAGACATAGTCAAGTGGAATTGCTTGGAGTCTCTCGGCCCCCCTGATTTGGGTCCGAAAGACGATGACCATGTTTGGCTGGATACACTTTCTGACATGGCGAGGAGCCGATGTCATTGGCGTAGCCTCCTCCTCCAACCACGATATCATTTCCTAGGCATAACGGAACTCTTTTTGGCGGCGCAATAGCCGGTTGTTCATGCGTTATCGGTGACTCAGCTAGCATACCTCAGTTGCAAGTTTCTCTTCTTCTTTTCTTATATACTGCGGCACAGTGGCTGAGGCGTTTTCCACCTCTAGCTGATGTGCATAAACAATGTATGTATTTTAATGACACACTCTATAGCACAAGCCCGAGAGCGATAGTCTTTGGCTTGCAGCGAAGAATAAAACCATGGTTCGGCTAACCAATTGTACGCATCCGCCTCGGTGTTCTCGCTTAAATCCACGAGGCCAAACGTGTTCTACTCGTGATGTTGCATGGTATGATTCGCATCTAATGGCTTTGGCTTGTTTGTGTTGCTTTCTAGTAAAAGCAGCTCTTTTAGACTCGTGTGGTGTTAATTGCAACACAAATCAGTGAAAAATGAGAGGAACTCGTAACACCGTACCGCTTTGAAGTCGCATGACAGACAGCGAATTTCACCTGCACAGTTTGGAAAGATGTAGACGTATCGGTCGGGAATATCTGTTTAGGATAAATGGATTTCACATTACGCATCTCTTCCGTTCCTTCAATTGTAGAGCTATTGTGAACGTGTTGCAACTTAACATCACCACAGAGTAACTTTGCACCTTTGTTACTGGTTATTGTACGGACATTTGTTTTTGGAGAGTATAATAGACTATGGTAAAAAAAGTGGTTTGTTACCATGCAACCTGTCCACCGTGCATCCGCATCACATCCATTGGTGTGTTAACTGCGTGATTACAATATTTGTTACCTCTCATAGGGATCGTCCGAATACCGAAGCTTAAATACTTTTAATCAGGTATACTACATTCAGCCTAAGTAAAGGAAGTCTACCTGAGACAAGAGGAGTGGTACTGCTCCAACTGACGTCCAGCGCATCACTCATGGTCTGGGTCTTTTTAAATATCAGAAAAACTTCTAGCAGGGATTATTTTCGGGTTTGGGGTAATTACGGTGCGTTTGCATTCCGATACACATACATCATCAACAAAGATTACCGGGCCGCTTCAATCCTACATGAAGCAAAGAAATATTTAATGTAGGCTCCACCCAACTCTTCATTTCACAATTGGTCTCTCTCTTGTTTAAATCCTTCAGTCAGAAGCATCAGCTGTTGGAAGCAAAGTGAAATAGAGATCTTTACCACTAGGGCATCGAAGTCCGGAGACACTAGAGCAAATATTAGTTGCCTCGAATATCCGTCCCATGAGGATTATAAAACGCACTTCATCTCATCTTCGTTTAGAGACACTTTAGGTAGAGATTACTGGAGCCAGGGCTCGGATTCAGAGCACAGCGCTTCGCAAGTGGCTGTTGCGATTGCGGTTAGGAAATTAGTTTCTATTCCAGCTTAATCGATGTTTACAGCGGAAGGTGTCAGAGTTAGATCCTCCCGTTGGACGGTTTACGAACACGAATGCAAACATTCATTGTTCGATGCCGATACACTATCGACCAGAAGCAAGTGTACCGGTGCCTACAGGAACAGTGGCACTACTGTAACTAATCACAACTGACTTTTGACAAGGGCTCACTTGTAGCTCCATGTATACCTCGAACAGCACTGCCGTAGATGGTTGATCCTCAGTTTCTGACAGCAAATAATTTAGACTGCATTCAATGGTCGAGCACAGTCCGTCTTCCACAATGCCGTCCACGATCAGGACATATCGATCCCAACCGCTGGAACCCTCCTCAGCCTTCAGTAGTATGCGGGTGTCCTGGAAAGAGAAAACAATAACTTGATCAAGTCTGCCAGCTTTTACATTGGTAGTAACTCTAAGTAGCAGTAGGAAGGGCACTTGCCATCCAAGCAACCCCCTGTTGCAGTGAATTGATGAGTGAACCAAATTTACGGTAACCAGAAAACAGGGACACTCAAGATTTTAATTATCCCAAAGCAACTATAAACCCTTTAGCTCCTCATGCAGCAACAAATGCCTACCTCAAGTATACTGGAAATGCGCTCGCCCGCTTCTTTGATTTCAACGTATCGTTTGTGTCGTCGATCTTCCCGATCGTCTAAGCTGAGTAGTGTGTCTCGACGGCTATCTTTCCTTTCGAAGAGTGGGAGCTTGGACCAAGTCGACATGATGTTGCGTTGCTGTTGCAAGTTGTCCTGCGCCTGCACCACGCGACGCTGTAGATCCTGCACTCTGTCATGTACGAGCTGAATGTGAGTCCATGCACCTAGAGCGCCGGGGTCAATGAAATCAGGAACGCACATTAAATATGCAGTGAAACTTCCAACATTGACCACCTATCTAAGTTGACCACTTCTGCATAGCTTGAACGTTCCCCATGTAAACCATAGGGAACCAGGCCTCTGATTATTGAAAATCTATGTAAGTTCCATGTTGACCATTTGGGATGCCACAGTCATTAGTTAACCTCTAGAAATTGACGGTACGAACGTTTGCGGTACAATGATCGTCGAACGACCTGTTTGTGCAAAACTGTGTGTAGGTAGTAAGATACTATGATATGTGAAATGCTCCTGGCCGACTTTAAGGCTCTGCAGACGTTTGACTATACATCATGCTCTCTGTCTGCTTATGTGTGTGTATGTATGCTTGTGCAGCCCCTCCGTGTTTACACGCCCTGGTGTTTGCCTCGTACAGTGTGCTCAAATTCACCTACCATTTAAAACACGTGGGTACTCATTACCCAGGTCTCAAGCAGAGTTTGAGTAGCTATCTTACCGTCGATTAACCAGCTCTAAGCTAACCTGTTCAGTTGTGTATTTGAGAAATCAACAAATATTGTCTGGTTTAAAAATGTAACTTTGAAGAAACCCCACTGCGTTTTGTGTTATTACAATACTGTATGATTCGACTGTGTTTATCATTATGAGAGTTGATCAAATAGATTCGAACCAGGATGCCCATAAAAACAAAGTTTATAGTGTACTGCTCACAAAGGGAGTAGGGTGCGCTGGGGAGCGTCGGCAGATCGATCCAGAGCTGAGAATAAACATCACACCATCCCCTTACTCCTACTGACAGGGGCCCACGTGTGTGTGTGTGTGCGTGTGTGTGTGCGGAACACTTGGGACAGTTGCAAGCAGCGCTTGGATTGACGCTTTGACCCGTAAAGGAATTAATCTTCTAACTATATCCCATTGGCAGCGGTTATCTTCCCAGAACGCCATAAGTGCTATACCAATCATCGAGTGGTTCACGAGCTGAAGGAGCTTTTTCGAGTCAGAAGTGAAATGTAGCCCACAAAATGTACTAACCAGTTGTCTTCAAACCCTTTGAAATTATGAGTTCTCGATCGGGGCCAAACATTTCTAAAGCTATTTAGGTAAGCTAAGTATTGTTGACCATAATCATCAATACACCTTAGCTGAGGACAAGAAATACATCTTAATTATGTGCGCAATACAAGAAGATAAGATCCAGTTAAACCTGTTCCAAGTGACCACTCAAGAGATTGGCAGAAAGTGTTCGTCTTAGACAATTGGTCGCCCCTTTACCGGTACATGCATAGGCGGTCATGATCGACTCCACATGCGTGATAAATTTCCAACTCGCAAACTCGATCTGTAAGATGACCGCCACTACAATTAACTTTAGCCTCTAATTAAGACAAACACAGTAGTAGTGTATACTGTGGGATATAAGAGTAAGAAGAAGGCAATAAAGTTACAGTTTAGGAGTCAACGTTTTAAAAACTGAGCTTTCAAATCCTCGAAATCCAGAAGCTTTTGCAAAATCGTACACACACCTTTCTATTGTCATAAGCATTTTCCACCAGATGAAAAAATCAAGTATCGTTGTCTGTTGCTTGGCAGTTGAAATGAAAGATGAATTTAGTTTTTCCCTCACGTTCATGATAAGTTCAAGCATATCAGTGTGTCCGCTATGTATTACGTAGGAGCGCAAACTATCAACAGCACCCTGTGCGTCTGTAAATATATATACGTTTTCAGAACTCTGTAGAATCCTGTTCCTGCTTCTCGTTTGATTCACTATTCCCATCCTCAGCTGCTAAAATTGATGTGGAACGCAGGTCCCAGTTGATTATTTCTGTTGTGTCACAGGTTTGGAGATAAGAATCAATCATATGGCTATCAGCCAGTTTGCATCCAAACAATTCCTTCGCAAGAGTAACCAAAACAACAGAGGTTGAAGGAGGTAAAATTTGCTCATATGTCTCAGGTTCAGTCTGTATTGCTGTATCAGAACCTATTTCTGCAGGACAAGGAAACCCCGCTTTATAAGAATACTTAGAGTTGTTGAGTTCTCCACTTACTTCCATGCGGCAGCTGTCCAGAACACGACGTCCAATACATTTACTCGTTTCATGGGTTCAGATCCGGACAAATCTTTGTGGGATTCCATGGTCGTAATAAGATGCAGCTGCTTTTTGCCTAAAGTTCAATTTTAGGCCTGAATAAACCCTGGTCGAGGGGTCGAACTAACGCAGTGGTGTTGGGTGGCGGAAACTGCTATTTGACATTACCTAGCTGGAATTTAGGATGGCAAGTGGCATTGTCAAGGAACAAAATGATGCGTTTTTTCCTGCATTTTTCGCAAGATTTGAAGCCAATCTTCGAAAATGACTGCAGTCATCTGTACCTTTTTATTATTCTTGTAAACTACCGCTAGTTTTTTCATGTTGATGTTTCTAAAAATTCGAGAGTTGGCTGATTTCCCAATCTCTAGAGCCGGTTTTTGCTCCCAAATATGATAGTGTACAACATAACTGTACTACACTCCTTGCTTCTTTTCCTACCTGCACATTTCTCTTCTTTTACAAAATATGTTTTACCCGACGTCGTTTTGAATAGCAAATCACTTTCATCTAAATTACAAATGTCTTAAGTAGTGCAGCCAGAAGATATTACGGGTAATTTTGTTGTTCAGTAGGATGCAGCACACATGGCTGAGTCACCGCCTTCGTCCGATTGCTTAAAGAGCACAAGTTGTGTCTACTGATGTAAGCCCGCAGCCAACCTTTTGACCCTTTAAAGGTTGGGTTTTGCAAGTCTTTTGCAAAGTGCAATGCTCGTACTTGAATCATGGGGCCAGCTATTGGGAATTTTCTCGCCAGTGCTGAATGGCAGCATTTCAAGCGAAATGCGTTTATGTCTTCTTTAACCGTTTTTCTACTCTTCTTTCTTTTCAGTCTTGCTGCGTTGTTCTCAGTCAGTCAAAAACTCGGCTTCCCAATTTAAAGTTAAAAAGATTTGCATCTTTCCTACTCCGAAATTTTCCGCCGATGTTCGCAAACTTTTTCTTTCTTGACTTTGCCGTATCACTGATATACTTTCTTCAAGTGTGAATGCCTTTGTCATTGCTGATTTGGAACTAGCCATTTTGTCCTTTGTAAGGATTTTCAGAAAGAACTGTAGAAACGAACATGAATAATCAGTACGGATGTACCCCAACAATACCCGCTCAGTGCTGATAACCGATTGGTTACACAGTAAACAAATACATACAGAAAGTGATATTCATAGTACTTGCGACTGTACAACAGTATGATAAAACCCACAGTGCGCAACGGAAGTCCCACTGTTTTTTGTTGGGTAACATGACCCTATCCGATTGGTTCACTGCATCGTTAGTAGCGGGATACAAGCCTTATTCATACAGGGTGATATCCAGGAGGAGGTAGTATGTCACTGGATCAGTCTGGTGTGAATGCAGTGTGACCCCGGGGTGAGAATAAACCAGTGGTATTTGGGGTTCCGCAACATGAACTCGTCAATTGCGACAGCGGGGGTATTAACAGGTCTATGGGGAATTGAATAAGGAGACACAGTGCGTAAACCTGGGCGATAATGAATCAGTGCAGGACATATGGTGTGGTTTCTGAAGCAATTATGAGACCATGGTGCCCCATGCTGTGGCTGATGTTGCATTCTTGATGCTTCTTCACTGCAGTTGGGCTAAACCAACGTACACTTAAACTAGGTCTTTCTAAGCTGGATACATTTCATTCCACTTTATTTGATTTGTTCTGCCTACCTGAATAATCTATTAACTGGCCACGTTGCTTACGCTGATTGAGCTTATCTTCGGTAACTTTGTTGTGTTTGTAGCATTTTTAACTAATTTGTGAACATTTTTTACTTATCACGGACTCGTTACAAACCAACTTACTTCATATGGTAATTTAGCGAAGAATTATGCTACCGTATCTATATGCATTACTGGATTTATTTTATTTCATCTTATCGTTTCAAGTGATTGGCTGTTGCTTGATATCCCCGGTGTGGCTGCGCTTGATGTGCATGTTGACAAGGTGCCTACCTGTCTATTACCCACTACCTCGTTCATACTGGCTCCAGGAGACAGTTGGTCGTTGCTGGAGGGGACGGGGTGCACGGTCCTTGTGGTCGTGTTAGGATCAAAGAGTGGTTGCATGCACTCAGTGTGTAACGGACTACGGTCCAGCCACCGCCTTGTGTGCGCTTGATTCCCCAAATACAGCGTGCTTGTGTTTGCCTGTGAAGGAGTGTGGGCCGGCTCCGTTGATGAAACGTGGTTCCCATCCGCATGCCTCCCGGTCTTATTCCTTCGGTTTTACACTGTATATGGGGTGTGTGGATGGAGCTGTGGGTGGTGCACCGCAAGCCACCCATGGTCCCTCTGTATGCGCAGGCGTCCTGTGGCTGGCCACAGTGACAGGAAAATCCGAAACCGGATGCCGCCAACCATGAGACCATGAAACGAAATCCAAGCTGTCTGTGGGATACGGTGGCTGAGTTTCATGATGCTACTAATCGCAATCGGCCAATCATGCTAGTGGTGGTCGCATTGAGCAGGTGCTGGAACGCCTGGGGACCACGAAAGCGTGGTCGCGGTTGCCTTAGACTGGTGGACGCCACAGATAGTTTAAGACCAATGAGAAAATATAGAAAAATCTTTGGGGATCCAGTTGTCTGGTAACTATGGGCAGGAAGTTGTTATGGCAGGTTGGACTGTACTAAATCGCAGACTACAAAACGTTCAACAAGTGACTAAACTCATGTTAAGTATCATATTCTGTATTTGGATTCAGATCGTAATTGAAAGGGGAATACGAGGGGAGTGGGATGGACAAATAAACTCATGTGTTGACCACCTCTCCATGTCGACTACATTAGCCCAGTCCTTTGGTGGTCTACTTCTGAGGTTTTACCATATGACAAAATTGAGCGGACAGTACAACCCCGTTAACAATGCTAGACTCAGGAA